ATATAACGTTTAAACCTTATTTTCACCTGTATAGAACTTCAATATGTGAAAATATATGTCATGGACCCAGGTGGACCAGTGATTTTTCTGTGAACTTTCTGCTCAATTCACCAAACAAATGTAATACATATAAATGGATAGTGACCATATACTAATACACGACACGTTGCACACGCAAATACAAGTCTGGAATTAATAAATTGTATCGCCTAAAACTATGTTATAATTTGTTTTAGGTTTTTCTTTGTTTTTTCCGCATATACAAGGTTTTCCTAATGATTGGTAAAAAATCTGTGGGGTGATTCATATGAAGTATTTTCATGGAAAAAAGTGTCTTTACACATTTGTCGAAAAATGCTTCCTCATGTCCCTTCAAATGGTATACACCCTGAATACGTTTTTCCTCACTATTTCCGAAATCATTCATTTAAAAATCATTAAATTAGGTACATCGCATCAACTGAATTAGATTTTTAGCTCAAAATTTCATAATTTCGGTCAGGGACGAACAATATCTATAATGTTAATGAGTTTAACAATTCGATTTTGTATGGAATTTTTTCCACATTCTCATTACAGAATATGATACCTGTAGGCTTTTGACGTGAAAAAGAAACTCCTATATCAAATCGATAGGGCTATAGTTGTTTTCGAGGAAATTGCAATTTTCTACAATCAAAATTACCATAAAAAATTCAATCGTCTTCACCCTCAACCTATCTAGTCGCTGAATAAGATTTTGAAGTAAAGTAGAATTGAAAACTAGGTTCAAATATCTAATTTTTTCAATTTACGATGACTTTTTTAAAAAATTTCTGATCGATTCATATGGAAAACTTTTTTATTATCAATTTTACAGATTAAATATCATTCCTCATTAAAAGTTCTGCATGATTTAAAATCTAGAATGCAATTTTCATGTACCATTTTTTTTTCAGTTGAATCCTAGGTATGTCGAAAAACAATAATGTTGCTTAAGAGTGAAGTATCTACCTTTATTTTCGACAATACCGTTGTTGATGGAAAAAGTTGACTAGAATTGAAAACTAACGTTCAAATCGAGTCAAAAATCTAATTATATCTGTCTACGAAGAAAATCAGGTTTTATTATTGTGTACAATTTATTCAAGACTTTTAGACATAACTACAACAGAAAGAAATTTAAATATGATAATTGCATTCTTGGTTTTAGGCCCTGCATCAGAACTCTTAATGTAGAGTGACTTTTTTTTCCGTAAAATTGATAATAAAAAAGTTTCCCAATGAATCGATCAGAAATTTAAACAAATAGTCGAACTGTTTTTCATCGTTATTAGATATTTGAAAAAAGTTTTCTATTCTAGTAAATATTTTTCTATACTAATTTTCGATATTGTCTAAAATAAAGGTACTGTATACTTCTGAGCAAAATTAAAATGTTTTGACATACCTCGTATACGACTAGAAAAATTAGATATTCGATATTTGCATATTCGATATGAGGCCATGCAGAACTTTTCATGGGGAATGATTTTTTTTTGGAAAAACAATAAAAAAAGTTTCCCATATACAGCCAACTTAGGTAGACATGCTATCTTCACCTCGGTCTTTACCCCCGAAGATAAACCGTAGTATTTTTCAGATACGCATATTACCTACAAGTATATCAGTTACATCTGTTTGTCCAGCTGGACAATAACGCATTGAAAGTGGAACAGATCTAGAGCATATTATCACTAGTTCGACTTCAAATCGTGAATCAGTTGCCAATCTGGATGGACTTATATTGGAAAAGAACACGTGCCATTACGCATCAATCTGCAAAAAATATCCAGAGAATTGGAAATACTAATCGCATCTATTCAGAGTGTTCATTGATTCATTGATATTTTTTATTACACAAAAACGAACTTATTGAAACGTTATTTGTTGAATCTAAAAAAAGATGATATATACTTTTTTATGTTACAAGAACTTTTCCAAGAATCACTTTCTGTGAAAACTATAACATGACTATAACATATTGGCAGGCAGCTGTGAAATATTGTCAATTCCATATATTCACCTCCAGTTCTCACCAAAATACAGCTTATTGGGGTGATTCAATATATAACAGATGTGCTTTCAGCTATTGTTTTTTCTTGAAATATGCGGATGAGTAGGGTCTTGAAGAGCTCATAATACAGGGTAATTCGGTATTCAAACAGCACCAACAAGGTATATTGATTGTATTGTTATTGAAAAAAACCTATTGAAATGTTCTAGAACAAAAGTCGAGCTATACAGAAAAAATATTTATTTATACACCACGGTATATTTTATATATTTTTTCACCATTAGTGATACATTTGAATCATTTCAGTTATGTGAAACTGAAATACGGAACTATAGTTGAACTATAAAAGCACTATTTTTCAATTCTTATTAAAATCTAGCAGTCATGATCATGGCAGATATGACAAGTCGTTATTGATGAATAGTGCATTTTATGGAAAGCTGACAAATTCAAATTTGCTGATTGATACAGCCTAACGCAGCACATTTTACCATCCTTCCTGAACAGAATTGAATAATGTCGTATTAAGATCAAGTATGAAATTAAAATTTTGTAAGATATTTCTTTTAACGCCCATGAATGTGATGTGATAGCTATGTCATCTCAGGGACGCCAATACACGAAACCAAAGTCACTAGAAGAGGCCCGTATTTATAGTCGCTCCTTAAGGTGACCTCGTTCCTTAAGGCATCCTTAAGGACCAGTTTCCAATTCATAGTCGTAATATGAGCTCGAAGGAAGCCTCAAGGAAATGTCAATTCAAAGGAAGGTGAAGAAGTACCTTGAGCATTTCTTGATCCAATTTCCAGTGTTATTTCAGGTTATGGTATGAATTCCATGAATGAAATGATGAAATTGAATGTAGTAATCAAATGAATATTCAAGTTTTGAAATTTGTACAGAGAGAATCTGATTCGAGTACATCGATTTCCAGTAGGAGCTGACTTTTATTGAAAAGTAAATCTTTTTTATGTCAAATAATAGGTATATATTACAAATAATGGATATTCAGCATATTTATAATTATATATAGGTATCATCTTGATGATTTGTTCATGAAATTGAGAGGAAAATCCCAAATAATCAAGTGAAATGAGCATACATTTTCAATGAACAACCACCGAGGGGTAAATCTCCAGGAAAAATGTGTACACCAGACTTCCAATGACCAGAGACTTCCAAAGACTTCCAAAGACCTCCAAAGACTCCCAAAGACTTTCAAAGACTCCCAAAGACTCCCAAGGACATCCAAAGACTTCCAAAGACATCCAAAGACATCTAAAAACATCCAAAGACATCCAAAGACATCCAAAGAATTCCAAAGACTTCCAAAGACTTCCAACGGAGTGTACACCAGACTTCCAAGGAGATTTACCCCTCGACAACCACACAAAATCACAGTTTCATTCGAAGTATTCAATCAAGTGGATATTTTTCCTCTCCCTAGCATATTTATTCCATTGTTGCTTGCCGTTTTAAATAGAGTAATTTTTGTATTGTAATTTTTCAACATCGCCATCGATAAACTCTTCGACCCTTTCTTCATTTTGTGGAACCTTGGACATACTTTGACTGTGATCGAAGTAACATATTGTTAGGCCCAATTTGAAATAATAACCTTTGAAGATTATTACTGCATGCTTAGAATCTTTCGATGTTCACAGTATCTTTGTCACAGTATTCACACTAAACAGTAAGCATTATCAAATTTGACATTTGACATTTTGTAAGGAACACGTGACATAAAACAACAAATTTGCTCACAGAACAATGAAATTATACACTGTTGTCAAGTGTAAGGGCTTTTTTTATAAGGAATACTCAAGGGAGGTCAATAAAACAAGTTCAACGTCAAGTACTGAGGAGTCCTCAAGGAATCCTCATCAGATAAGGAAGACTTGAGGACTTCTTGAGGGAACGACTATAAATACGGGCCTAGATGATTGAAAGAGAAAGGAGCTATGATCTGTCCGTACCCTGTTATATTATAGATCAGTGGTTCTTAACCGGTGGTCCGCGGACCACTGGTGGTCCCTGGAAGCACCCAAAGGGGTCCGCGAAGCCATCGGAAAAATATTGAATTAGTGACAAGCGGACGGATTATCAATTTGAAATACGACTCTCTTAATTGGTAGATCGAACAACTCTATGAATTGAATCTGCAACTGCAAGGGTCAGGAATTTTGAAGTTGCATGACATGTGCAGTATATTTGCATGTGAAGATAAAATTGCTGCATTTATAGCTGAAATTTAACTATGGATCAGTCGAACAGTCGAAAAAAAATTTTTTCTACGTGTGATAAGCTGAATCAAATTATTGAAGGAGAGTGTGCTGAGATCAAGAGAGGCAAATTTGAAAAGTGAATTCGATCGCTATTTTCCTGACTGCGATAACAAAGGTAATCGGAAATTGTCAATGTTTTTGAGCGCCTGATAGAATTGAAGAAGAAGTGATTGAAATGCAAACCGATAGTAACTTGAAAAATGCATTCGAAGCAGGAATTGATTTTGATGATTTCTAGAACCAAAAAGGAATTTCTTTTGCATAGATTTGGGAAATTCGATACCTACCTTAGTTTTCATCGACATATCTATGCGAGCAGGAGTTTTATGAGACACTTCTAATCATTAAAACAAGCACCGAAATCGGTTGGATACTACTGCCGACATGCGTTTTAATAGGACTGAACCAAGTATTGAGGAGTATAACAAAATATAAAAAAGATATATTCTGTCTCTGTTATGTTGAATCTCCACCTAAAGATTCAAATAATGTTGATTGTGAACAGATGCATGTTTTATTCATAGAAAAAACAATGATCCATTAATTTTCATTGCATGTGTTCACCTCCAAACAGTCAGTGGTCCATGGCAATTTTGAATATTGTCAAATGGTCCCTCAGCACTAAAAGGTTAAGAACCACTGATATAGATGACAAATACGTCAGTTTGCATCAAGGGACCCTAACCTAACTTAACCTTACCGCTCAGCAGCTGCTCCAGATAGACGCACCTGGCGTCGAGGTAGTTGCCGTCAGGGGTGGCGGCTAGGGAAGAAGCAGGAGAGGCGGCCAGACTTGCCGCCTCTCTAAGCAGCTCCTTCTCGCTGCCGGCGGCGGCCATCAGGCTCAGGCGGGCCGACAGCTCCTCCACGTCTAAGGATATAATAATAATAATAATTAGTGATTCACACGAGACCAACGAGACGAGACTTTCATGAAGTCTCGTCTCGTCTCGCCGATGAAATATGAAGTCTTGTCTCGAGTCTCATCTCGCAGCCTACAGTCTCGTCTTGTCTCGCGTCTCGTACGAGAGTCTCGCAAAAGCATCGCAATTTCGTCATGCATAATCTTGTTCCAGTCTTTTGTTTTTCACCAAGTCGTTAAGACATAACAAAATCGTGCAGATTTATTATTAGGGCGCTTCCGATGTTTTCTTATGTGAGAATAATCTATCCTCCGGGACTGAAGTAGCCGGTATTCTTGAGTATTTATGAATGAAATATTTTGTCGATCTGTGCTGAATTGTCTGAAGTCTTTCTAAATATGTTGTATTATGAATGGAATTCTCAAGTCTGCAGTCGGCACGCAGAAATATTGACCTGCGAGACTCTCGCACGAGACAAGAGAAGTCTTGCACGAGACTCTCGCACGAGACACGAGAAGTCTTGCACGAGACTCGAGACGAGACCAATAAAAGTCTCGTCTTGTCCGAGTCTCGTCTCGAGTCTTGTCTCGAAAACGAGACGAGACCATGCGAGACTCTCGAAAACGAGACTCTCGCGGGCACCACTAATAATAATAATAAATGCCTTTATTTCCATGACAACCTACAGTCTAACAATCTAACAACAATTCTAACAACAGTTCGAAAATCTTAAGGGGGAGTTCACTACTTAGTGCTCTTCCACTCAACCCTTGTCATGTTCAGTTATAGTTATTTTCCTAACAAGTACGGAAAGTGAGTTCGGGCAAGCAATCGAGTGCGGGAAAGACACTTTCCGCATAAGTTAGGAACAATATTTTTTCTACAAGCGTAGGAAATTGATTGATTGGTTCATTCAATTATTCCTGCAAATAGGAACAATTAACAATAGAGATATATTCTCTATCTTCTAATAATTAGTGATATATCCCGAGATATATCCATTGTGTGTACCGTTTGAAGCAATATGTAGGTGAGCTTATTGCGGGAGCCAGCATGCCCATGGTGTTTGGCCTCTAGGTTTCAGACATTTCTAGGAAATGAGCCAAAAATACTTTTTCCTCATTTGGTGTTTTCACTCTTTTACTATCGCACCATTCAATAAATCCTGTGTAGTGCTTCTCATACATTTTTTGAGACTTCGTTGGCAGTAACTCATCTGTATCGCATTTGTAGCTGGAAGTTTTTCATCGCAATTCCACTGAATCGAGAATGACAGTAACGCTCTGTCTGTCACTCTGAGAATTACACTAACTAATTTGTGTTTTGATTGATATGACATCAATTGTTTCCCACATCAGATCAATTAAAGGCTATAGGGGGATTTATATAACAATCAATGATTATTTTTCAATATTTCTTAATTTTCACAATAAATAGTGCAATTTGATGGATGATTTTGTACAAACTCACTAAATTATGTAATAACCCCTTAGTCATATTCTGCAAGAATATGATATAAATGTTTTTCCCGTGTGGGAAAAACGTTCCCGCAATAGTGTGGGAAAACTTTTCCCGCACTAAATGACACTTCCCAAACTAAATTGCGGCTGGTATAGGGTGAATCACGCACGCTTGTAGAAAGAATTTAGAGGAGATTAGAAAATGAGAAAAGATGATGATAATATCAATAATAATAATAATTATAATAAAAATATTGATAAAAAGAAAATAATTGAACATTATTCATATATGTAAAAATAGATATGTATATACAGGAAAGTGATGCATCTTTTTTTTATGTTCTGGTTCCCACGAAAACCATGATCAAGGAAACACTAGTTGATTCTTGAAATGTGACGTAATAGCTCACTTGAATTCAAGCAAATTGAAATAATTATAGTGAGATGGCACGGCGTTGTATAACTTGTAGATGTTGGATCTGAAACCTCTTTGGAAAATTTGTGTACTATGAGTTGGACATGTAAGAAAGTTCTAAGATCTTATGTTGCCGAAAATCTCACACCTAATATTTTCTCGTTATCGACTTGTGAAAATTTTCGAAATATTCGTGTTCTCGAAAACATTTCCGACTAATTAAAAGCATTTGGTTTGTATCATTACCATATAGCAACTAATCAAAATTTCTGATTTTTTTCCTCCTCTTTAGGGGAAGGACCATGAAATTATACTGCATATTTTTTGACGTTTATATGTAAAATGACATTTGCATTCATCAACTTCAGATTACGACAGATTCATTCTATGAGTTGAGAGTTCCTTGTGAGAAAATATATTTTTACTAACTTTAGCTAAATGAATTTGTGAAAAACTTAGAGATTAAACTTATTTTTCAATATTTTATTTAACGAAAGTCTTTTAATTATATTTTATTTAACTTTATAATATTATACGTGAGCAAATTTCGTTGATATACAAAATATAACTTCGAGTTTCTAAGAAGAAAATATATTTCTACCAACTTCAGTAAAATGAATTCGTGAAAAATTAAGGAATTGGGCTACTATAGACTTATTTTTTATTATTTTTTATACTTAACTAAAGTGAGTTAATCGTGTTTTATCTTCTAATAATGTAATGGATATGAATCAAATTATCACTACATACTGTCGAGTTCCTTGTAACAAAATATATTTACACCAACTTCAGTGAAATAAAGTGAGTCGAGAATAATATTTTGAACTACAACCAGCTGCTTTATTAATATATTGCGTAACTTGAGACGGTATTTTGTATTTTATGTAGCGTAATCTTATCCTGGTATCTTTTCGCATTTCGGTGTGAAATTTTCTTACCGAATACCCCTCTAGCTTCAATTAAAAGCCAGGGAACATTTAGGAAATTCTCTTTCGTATTCATCTCGGGAAATTTTTCAAAATATTCGTGTTCCGGTAATAACGGGCGCGTACACCTTAGTAGAACTTTTAACTCAAACCATGTTAATAATGATCCTTTTATACATAAATAATGATTGACGACATAATTTGATCGAAAAATTAACTGAAATGTTTTATTTTTGGACAAAAATAATAGTACCTTCTGAAAACGGACCCTCTTATGACGTAGAAACCTCATCTCGCCATAGTTAAAAGAAAATACCAAACGCCCGACGGAGATTGAGGCAACTGATATATTAATTCCTTCAACTGTGATCTCGCGCTAATTCACTCTGTCAGAAATCATGTATCATTCATTTCTGCCTGAAATAGTCTTGTTTCAGTAAAAGGGTTTTGACGTCACATCATCGCCCCGTTTCAATAATTTTTTATAAAACGTAGGGAGCTCACAGCAAGAAACGGTTTGCGGTGGTGAGCTAGTTTGGGCGAGTTCTATCGAATTATGAAATACATTTTTTTGTGATATAAGCCCATTGGAGTTCTTGTGGTATTATGGATGAATATTTCATTCCAGTGAACTTCAACCAATTTGATGCTTTATTTCGACATTGTTACTATCGTAAATTTATTTTCTACTTCTTTTCAATTTGACTAACCATAAGACCCTGTTTAATTAGTTTTTCGAACTACTATTCGTTTTCTACTTTTTTTCAGTTCGGCAATCTTATCTCTTTAGTTTTCTAAACTACTATTCATTTTCTACTTCTCTCCAGTTTGGCTACATACGAAAGCGCGTTTTATCAGCTTTTCGAAACAAAGATTGTATCCGCCATCTTGTATTTTCAAATTTTGAGGATAGAATCATAATTTTCGACCCCAAAATCCCCCAGATACCAATTTTGAAAAAAATCGGATCATAATAACAAAACTCTTTCGCCATATTGGATCCACCATGTTGAATTTTCAAATTTTGAGGAAAGAATCATGATCTCCGACCTCAAAAAGTCCCAGATACCAATTGTGAATAGAATCGGAACATAATTACAAAACTCGTCATCCATATTGGATCCGCCATCTTGAATTTCTTAATGTATTCACTCATAAGAATCTTCTTCTGACAATAAAAAACTCAACAAAAAAGAATAAGTGAAATCAGTCAGGCTGTTTAACTATCCAATAAAGGACATGCAGACAAACATTCATTTTTATTTTATATATAATTTATCATTTATACAGGGTGGGCCACCAGTAACGCCTCGGTCTCTAGAAGGCTAACCACTCATCTTCTTGGAATTTTTCCTCTCTAGGAAGTTGCATGTCAACATAGGCTACCATTTGAAATTATTTTGAAACATACAGGATGTCCCCAAAAATCACAAAACACTGAAGTTGAACTTTTTTCAATCGAACACCCTATATATTATTTCATTTCGAGATTCTCCTTGATGAGCTGATTTCAACGACCCATCATACTTGGGGTCTAGCAGTTATAATTACTGAAATATAGGGTGTGAAAAATCGAGATTTTCCAAGTTCAAGAATTTTTTGTGTCTAAACCATTCATAATTGGTCAAAACGGTTCACATGTCCCTATCTCAACTTTTGATCAACTATCTACTGACATTTAATTGAAACAAATACAGGGTGGTGCAGAATTCAGAATCTTGATCACCCGGTATATGTCCCAATTAAATATCAGTAGATAGTTAATCAAAAGTTGAGATAGGGACATGTAAGCCGTTTTGACCAATTATGAATAGTTTCGACACAAAAAATTCTTGAACTTGGAAAATCTCGATTTTTCACACCCTATATTTCAGTAATTATAACTGCTAGACCCCAAGTATGATGGGTCGTTGAAATCAGCTCATCAAGGAGAATCTCGAAATGAAATAATATATAGGATGTTCGATTGAAAAAAGTTCAACTTCAGTGTTTTGTGATTTTTGGGGACATCCTGTATGTTTCAAAATAATTTCAAATGGTAGCCTATGTTGACATGCAACTTCCTAGAGAGGAAAAATTCCAAGAAGATAAGTGGTTAGCCTTCTAGAGACCGAGGCGTTACTAGTGGCCCACCCTGTATAATACATTCTTCTTATTTTTCTATAGGGCACGGGGAGAGTAAAAGAAGTCCCTTTTATTTATATATGATACGAATTACACACAGCTTTCTAGTTATGCATGGATAACATCCGAATAAATATTTAGTAATGTTTTCTTTTTTAATTTAATTCCGGGATAAAATTTTCTCAACTAATCCCCACCTAAAATTTCAAAAAATAATGATGGATTCTGAATCACGATCCTTTGATACAAACCTCCACCAATTTACATCATCATAAAACACAGGGTGTCCGAAAAAACGAATGTCACTAACCATTCATAAAAGACATTTATATTTACACATGACACCAATTATATTAGGACGGAATTAAATGAGATCGAATTATAAATAAAAATGTGGGCTATGTTTATCACACTCTTCCAAATTTTTTGAAGATGATTATTATAAGAAGCGAATCAGTTCAAGCCACGCTTTTTTATAAGTAAATATTTCCACTATTTTTAACAGAACTGAACAGTTTATTTTTCTTGGAAGTCTTGATCAGGTAAATCATGGAAAAACTTCATAGGACCCTGTTAATAAAATTCGTCAAAAGAGGAAGTCATAATTCATCTTTGGTTATTTATTTTTGGTCTGACGATTATTTCGAGGAGAGACTTATGTGATTTCAGCTGTAAACGTTATATTTTTTCGACAAAATAGCTGCAAGGCAATGTGTCTATGAAAATTTGAACTTCCAAATGTATTCCCTTTATAATTATCATATTCAATTCATAAAGACATAAAAACATGGACTATTTTTTTCAAACATTAGATCAATGATATTTGCAAAAATATTCGTTGGCAGATAAAAATATAGATCGATGCGAGATATATGTAGTCAAAGTTGAAAATAAAAAGTGTCTTTATTGAAATGATAGAGAACCGCTGAAAAATACCACAATAATATTTAGAAAGGTCCATAGTGATTTATGTTTCGAAAAAATGTGAATACTTACTATCCAAGCTGTTCAATTTTCAATATATACTTTGTTATACAATCAGTTTTAGTATTTATTATATGTCTGAAGAATATGTTTGGCAAGAACTTATGATCTCCTAGTTGAAAAACAATTCCAAAACCTACACTCTCACCTTATTCGATGATCCTCGGACATAATAGGGATTCCATTTCGTGCGCTCCAAGTGATAAAACTATCAATTGATAATATCAATATATCAGTAATATGCATTCTGAAATTTGTTTAGAAGTATCTAATGCTTTCAACAATATCAGAAAAACTTTAATATGTACCTATACATGAATTATATGGAACAGAGAAGAAACTGTTGATCTTTTTCGCCAAATTATCTTATGATATGTAGCATATTTGAACACGTGTTTGTGGGTAATTTTTTCTTATTTTTATTGCCTCCCGGAGTACAGGAACGTTATTGTGGGACACCCTGTACAATTAGATTAATAAGCATTATAGGCTAATTGAGTGGAACGTTTAAAACAGGCATGATGTAAACAAATTTCTCGATCTGAGGCAATTGAAAGCAATCCGAAATAGAAATTTTGCGTATTGTGTTTGGCGCGTGTCCAATTTGAAACAATAATAAGTCAGACTTACTCGGTTTACCAATTCGAATACGAAAATAAACAAAAAGGTCTGAAATAGACTCCGTTTAACCTTATAGTAACTTTCCAATGGTGTTTTTTTAGGTTGCCGAAACTCATGATGAAGTCAGGCTAGTTTTACTAACATTATTTCAGATTTTTTGGGATTTTCTCTCCTTGTTTCTATAAAATTAAAATATGAATATGATGCGTTTAAAGAATGTCCCTATCAGAGAGCCTAAAAGAAAAATTCACTAGCTTGTCAGTGACAATTTGTATTGAAAAAGGTTTGGAGAAGAGAAATAAAGGTATACAGTCTGTCCAAGATAAGGTTGAACAGCATGGGGATCTCGAAAACGGTAAGAGATACGAAATCGGTTGAATGGGAAAAAAGTTGCGCATTCGGAGGCTCATGTCAAGAGCCTTCGAAAATTTTGAAAATTATTTTTAGTTTTTGAGTTATATCGAAAAAAGTGAATTTTTGGAATTTCTATTTTATTTTTTTTCTCCGTTATTATTAGAGATACAGCAAAACTGAGAATACTTTTTCATAGCAACTTTTGATGACGGTCAACGTGGTGATATTTTTTCATGCGACGTTTCGTATTCGTGGAACCATCATCAAATTTTGTTTTTTAAATACGGTCCTGATAATTTTTTCACAGATTCTAAAAGGTTTTTTTATTCTGAATTCAACCATGTATTATACAAGGTTGTTCATTTGTGTTTCGACCTATTTTTGGCCATCATCAATGTTTTTTCGAAACTCCAAAGGAAAAATGCCATCACTTCCACTTATTTTGAAGGAAAATTAGTCAACACACTAATACCTCATCAACTGGTTTCAATCAACAACCCATTTCATTTTGCGGAAACAAAAATTCCATCCATACAAATTCAGAATATGTCAAGCGCTAAAACCAGGCGATGACGAAAGGCGCAAGACATTCTGTCAGTGGTATACCAGGAAATGTTAAAATTTTGCAGATTTCTTTCGAACAATCATCTGGACTGATGAAAGCATGGTCACTAATCATGGTAGCTTCGATAGAAAAAATACACATTATTGTTCACGAGAAAATGAACATTTATACATTACAGCGAGACACCAACACCGTTTCGGCTTTAATATGTGGGTTGCAATATTTGGTACACGAATTATTGTTCCTTCTATTTACCATGAAACACAGACTTCCGAACGTTATAGAAATTCGCTTGAGAATCATCTTGAGGAAGCTCTGGTTGATTTACCGATTGCGGAAGTTCAGAACTCTGTTGGTTTCAACAAGATGGCGCTCCGGTACATAATTCCAGAGAAGTCCGTGCGTTTTTATCCCTTGGCCGGCGCGGT